CTTTCTTGTGCTGGTTTCTCTTTCTCAAACTTCTCTTTGTCTGGTTTTGTTACACTATCATAGGAAGGAGGAGAGGTGGTAGAAGAGCTCGCATCTGTCTTTTCCGGAGTGGAGTTCCCATTTAATTTGTCAATAATCATGTCTTCTTTTATAGGTAAGTCGATCCTCCCTTTGATTGTCTCTTTGTCATATTTACTTGATATCTTTTTTAACCTTTGCTTTAAAAGATAACACCTGAAATTACGCTGGATGATAGCAGCAGACACTTCCTCTTGTTTGCGTTTCAAAGTGGTTGTGATGGGTTCATAAGAGACTTTGGAAGGGTTTGATGCCATGAACCGGTCTTCCATCTGTATTCGAAGGGCATCCATCTCTCCACTCTCACCCAAAACTCGCTTTGTAAAGGCAAATAAAATGTCTAGGCAGTGGATCCTGTCTCCACTGACCATGGGCAGGTCCATGGCAATGAGCTGGACTTTGTTTGGTTTTGCTATGAGAAGAGGAGGATCCAGGGCAGCTGCAAAGTCAGAGAGCTTGGAGAACTCTATAAACTGAGTTGCATCTGGATCGAACTTCTCCCAAACCTCATAGAACATCTCAAAGTCATCCTCACTCAGGGGCTCTGCACTTTCCTCAGTAGCAACACTGAAGTTCTCCAAGATGACCGCAATGTACATGTTCACCACCACCAGAAAGGATATGATGATGTAACTGACAAAAAAGAAAATCCCGACAGATGGGTTTCCACAGTCTCCCTTAACTGAGCTTCCTGGGTGAATTGTGTCAGGGTCACAGTCAGGTGGGGCGCTATTAAGAATAGGGGCTAGCAATCCATCCCAGCCAGCAGAGGTGGTGATTTGGAACAGGCAGATCATGCTATTGCCAAAGGTCTCGAAGTTGAACATGTCGTCAATTCCAGCTTCCTTTTTAACGTAGGCAAAGTTGGACATTCCAAAGATGGCGTAGATGAACATGACCAGGAAGAGCAGGAGACCAATGTTAAACAGCGCAGGAAGGGACATCATCAGAGCAAAGAGCAGCGTGCGGATCCCCTTCGCTCCTTTGATCAGACGCAGGATGCGGCCAATCCTAGCAAGACGGATCACTCGAAACAGGGTAGGGGACACGAAGTACTTTTCTATCAGCTCAGCCAGAAACATCCCTGTGGAAAACCAATTAACAGAAAAATGCTGTTATATTTAATAGTGGCAAATAAAAATTTATATTAGAAGTGATACTTAGTTTTACAAAATGTGGACGTAAGAAACACACACACACACACACACACACACACACACACAC